CCCAGGAACTGTTCACCGGTCGCGTTGACAGCATTCTAATTGACGAAAGCAGCCATTGAGTATGTAACAACAGTACAGTACACTCGTTAGACACACGTATATGTACCTGCGTACGCCAATTATATCTTTTTGTACACCATTTATTAATTACAAGGACATGGACTGACGTGTGCATTGATGCGCGACAGACGCGCACAGTTGTTTGCGTGTAGTAGTTCATCTTAATGCAGTTTCTTTAAGACCTGACTAAATACTGTACTGAGCATAAATTGTACATTGTAAAGTTAGATTGAGACAAAGTAAGTTAAAGATTCGGACATACCCTGGACATGAAGGCCTCTAGCCTTCCTCACAATTTCCTCCAAACTTCTTGTTGTATCCATGAAAAACAAAAACCTACTTAGCACCCAGTATTACCGATTGATCCATACATTTTCATGGGCCATTACCTCTACTCTATTCATCCCCTCTGAATGTCTGTCCTGTCTGTCCATCATCGCATCCATACAGTCTCCTCCAACAATCTGTCTTTCAAGGTACCTAATTAATAATATTTAGGCAAGCAACATGGCTTTCTGATCCAGCTAAATAAACGTAAATCCGCATTTAACACTTTTATATAACACTACTTAAATAAATATAAAGAAGAATAATTGTATTATATCTGATCTGATCTGCTTGTATAATCTGACGTCACTTTTTAGGCGATCGCTGAGCGCATCATATGACCATTCTTCTTGGTACTGATCCTATAATCTTCTCTTCCAGCTTCTTCCTTCTGCCTCTTTAGCGTATTCAGCTTCATGGTCTCTGGTTGAATACAAAAGCCCTCTTTGGCGGTATGGCAGTAGCGACCATTGAGCATTCGCCAGACTTTGATTGACAGCTGTATGCTATGCAACTTGTTAAAACTGTAGGTGCATACTAGGCTTAGCTGCTCCAACACTCTCCCGCTGCAAAAAAGCCCATAAACCCTAAATAAATTCCCAAGAGGAGGGAACGTAAATGAACCAATTAAACCGCTAATAGCCAGGCATTGTGTTCTCGAAAATAAGATAAACAATAGATGTTAGATTAGACA